AGAGGCTCCAATGCCTCGGAGTCTTCTAAACCGGGTCAGCGATGGAGAACCGTGACGCTCTCTGGAATCGCGATTGACTGACGACGCCGAAGCAGCCGAGAAGGCCCTTCTTCTCCGTTTACGAGTGGGCCTTGATGAACGCATTGGAGAGGTAAAACCTCCGCGCCGACGGAAACACAATCGTGGCGCTAAGCGATTGGACAAAGTCATCAAAGACGCGGAGTCCCTAGCCCTGCCTCGGCTCCCAGTCATTCCTCCTTTCGAGTGGAGGGACGAGGACGTCGATTGGTTTATCGATGACGAAGCGGGAGCGCCTCCTCCGGACGATGCGTACGAGCCTTACGGGGACTTCTATGATACGGATGATGAGTGAGCGCCTCCGCACTGGGGGGCACTGTGATACCTATGTATAATTACTGTAGATACATCTCTAAGTGCGATCGGCACTCATTAATAGCTATTTGTACATATTGTTTACTTATGTAATTCATCTTTTATAACTTGCATCTTGCCATGACCTGAGCTCACGCCAGCGTCGTGCGTGCGACTACCTGAGACCACCTCGCCGGCTGAGCATCCTTATCTGCTCACCTCTCCAGGTCACAGGTAGCCCGACCGCGGGTAACACGGTCCCTCAGCTCAGGGTCACAGGCTCGAGATCCACCGCGGTGTGATCTCGCCTTTCTGGTGCGACACTTGTTAGCGTCGCGAGGATGCGCTCGCAGCGCGTCCCGCTTGACCTTCGTCTCGCGAGAAGCCCCCGCCGGAAGCCATCCGCTTCACATCTGACCAGTGTGCCCTCGACGCCAACGGGGACCTCAAAGACGCCTCTGATATCGAGTTCAACGCGTCCGAGTCCGATGCCAAAGCCCTACCCGCAAAATCGACAGGTCAGTGTTGAGATCATTTTACTCTTTGATCAGTGGAAACTAATATATGCTGCCAGAACTTTGTTGTGGCACTCGTAAAAGGAACACCAACAAGTTAGCTCAGACTCTCCACGCCGTCCGCTTTGCGTAATGGTCTGATTGAAGCGCACACAAAATTGAGGGACTACTATTACAAGTCAGATGAGTCTCCATACTACACCTGGGCAGCCCGTATGGGACGTTTGACCATTTTCTTTTAAATACTAACACATTCTTAGTTCTTGACCCGCGTATCTCCTACAAAGCTTGAGACACATTTCCGACCTCACTACGCTGATGAGGCTCCGACTCCCTCCGCTCACCCTCCTGTCCACGCCCCTGTTCAATTAACCTCGCGTATTCAGGCCTCGCCTGAAAAGGACTTCACCAAAAGGTATCAGGTAGAGCACCGGGCAGCATTTGACAAACTTAGGGACTATAACTCGCTCCCTCGTGAGGATTTCAACACTTGTGATCCAGTTCAATGGTGGTTTGCGCGGAAGGCTCAATTCCCTAACCTGTTTTCTCTGGCTCGTGACGTTCTGGCCATCCCCGGTAAGTCATTTATGGCAACAGTGGACTGGGAAATTAGCATGCTCTTCAGGCTCGGCTGTCGCTGTTGAACACATCTTTTCCGGTGGGCGTGATACCATCTCTCTCCGTAGGGCAAGTTTGAAGCCCGATACAATCAGAACCTTGATGATGGTTCAACAGCGCCTTCGTTTTGCTCGCACCGCAGCTCAAGAGATCCGCGGAGATGCTTAGAACGAATCTTATTTATCACGTTTCTGTCTCGTACAAAATTCTATCTACATTTATTGATTTAACCATCTCTCCTGAGTCAGAAATGAGTTTGTGACTGTCTCCTACGTAGCATTGGTTAAAAACTGTGCTTGGCAGAGAGACGACACCTTACCGTCGCCCGAGACGGCTGTCCCGTCGCCCATCCCGTTCCGTAGAGATTTTCTAAACCTCCGCGACAGGACGGAGATGGGACGGAGACGGGACGGGATTTAACCGTTGCCCTCCCGTCGAAATGACGGCCTGACGGGCGCGGCGCACAGCCCTAGGATAATACTTCCTGGCAGGCCCAGGTTGATTCGGGCCAGATGACAGTTGAGATGTGCTCAAAGGTGGCGTGCATCGTTTCTTTGTAGGTCCTGTTGACTGGAGGAAAGGAAGAGCCATTTCGTTGGTGATACCATCAGCTGAGGTAATAGGGTCGTTCACAACCACCCTTTTTCACGCCCTTTGTCGCGCCCCTTTTCACCCTTTTTGCCGTTCTCTGCGTTTTTTGCCTGATTTTTTTTTCCAAAAGGCTGTAAAAAGGGCTGTTGTGAACGACCCTAATGTCACCAAACAACGCCTCAAAAACGCGCCTTTCAGACAGAGGTCTCAGACACGGGTTTCGGCATTTGTTGCCGCGGAGACTCGGAAGAGCGGAACATCTGCGAAGATGAATTTTAAGCCCAAGTTCACGAGTAGAAAATGGCTCTGCAAATTCCTGATGCACGGCGGCCATCATCCGTCAGTTGATGTCATCCCTTGTTTCAAAGCGGCTTTTCAGATATGAAACACTGGCACGTTCTCGTCACGGCCTTACTCAAACCACCACCACGACTGGCCCACGACGGTACGCTGTCTTATGCACTTCTCGCTCATGGTTGACCGTCATTTATCAGGACCATGTGTTCCCCCCTCAAGATTCCGGAGCTTTTGGACCACACCATCAGCTTCCTCGATGACGAGGAAGATTTCCACACATGCTCGTTGGTCAGCCGTTCTTGGGTCCATAGCGCCCAATCCTGGATTTTCTCGGAAATCGACATAACCAATGTCGACACAAACTCCCGTTTGTTGGCGGTATTCGAGGATTCGCCACACCTCGTCGGATTTGTGTCCATGCTGCGCATTCACGAATTGGAATTCCTTGAATTGGGTGATTTCGTGAAACTCAGCAACCTCCCCTACATAGTTTTGACGTTCCTTCATATCAGTGGCCACCACGCCACTCTGGTATCCAAGGCGTCTCTAGCAATCCAACGATTTCTCAGGATCCCATCACTTGTATCGGTTGACCTATTCTGTCATTTCGAAACTCCGGAGGACTTTTACGGAATATGGGATGGTTGCTCTCGGAACATCCGACATCTTACCCAAGGCTGCTATATCTCTCCAGGAAATCCACCCGCGTCACTTGGCCAGACGCCCGCTCCTACCAGCCACCCACGCATCAAACTGGACTCTCTAGATATCATGGGAGCTAATTCTAGATCAGGCATTGAATCCTGGTTCGAGGATCCTCGTTGCCCATTCGATGTCTCGCGTCTGAAGGCTCTGTATTTCAATGGAAGGGAGGATACGCTTCGCGGTCTCATGCATGCGGCGCGTGAAACTATCGAAGTCGCGTTTGTCACCGTTCGTCACTTGTCTTTACTGCATTCACGAATCCATCCATACTCATTTACATTGCAGCCATTGCTCCATCTCGTTAGTGTGTCCGCACTCAGACGAATCACGGACATCAAGATACCCTTAGACGCATTCGATCCCTCATTTAATTCGAATGTTGCCCAATCTTTCAGCCTGGTTAGGACGATCGGAGAGGAGAACCGTTGGCGACTCGAGGCAATCCAACTCCTAACCTTACTCAAGCCATTTACCTACTGCTTCGCCTTACCGGCGCTTATGGAGTTTGATCGCCAGCTGTGTTCGGCTCAAGACGAATTCCCCAACTTGAAGGTCGTTGAGATTGTTATCGAGCCCACCGCACTTGTGGAGGGTTTGGAGCAGCATTTTCCACGATTGAAAACACGCATTCCTCTTCGCTGGAGTACGCGTTACATTCCTCATGACAATTATATCGCGACTGACAGGCACCGCCGCAGATTTCGACGGCGGATCATTGCCGCCTTGGTATGCCAAAATCGTGCGAAACAATTTGCAAGACCACGTTGGACTTAATGTAGACTCGTGAACCAGTCGGTCCGCAGCTCACAAACAGACAGAGCGGGGACGACCGGATTCGGATAGAAACCAAATATGCCAACGAGAGCGCAAACATTGATGGTGTGATGGAGACGGGTAAGCTGCGGTACTCTGCACTACTTTCTTGCGTGATGGGTTTGGTGTTGTTTGCAGATTACCGGATGGGGACGAGCCTAGACTTAATGTACCCTATGATACATAGACCTTCGTGTGTACTTTAACTTTCATCTCGAATCTTCTTGTCCTGGTCCTGTGTTCGGAACTGCCACTGTGCATGTCGATGCTGCCTTGACTCCGGATCACATTATACTTATCTCGTATATGTTTCCTTCGACTGACCTCATCAGTCAGTCTCCCAGGGACCAGAGCTTGAAATTCTAATACAGATGTTGTGCAAGTTCGGAATCACCCTGGACCCCAGCCTGGGTCCGGGTCTGGTTTACAGTTGTCCCATCTGTCCTCAACGAAAATGGTTCATCCAACTCAAACGACTACAAGCACATCTGAAATCCAAGTCTCGCATCTGAATGCCCGCGCTCGCAAATGCACATCCAGGTCTAGATCCTGTCGATCTCAAATCCATGTCTCGACTCCCCGCGTCTCGTGCATTACGTTCCGGCTTGACTCCGCATCAGGTCCCAGCCCTTCTCAAAGTGGCGCGCATCCAGATTTCAGACGCAGATCCCCGCGCTCGCAAGTGCAGGTCCGAATTCACGCGCTCGCAACTCCGATTCCATGCGCCTCGCCGCGAACGAGGGCGAACGGGGGTTTGATTTTATGATCCCGCGAGATGCGTACAGTGTCGGTGCCGTTGGATGATGTTATGTGGTAGGTGCGAGGTAGGTAGGTATGAGGTGCGGGCCAGTGGGGGCGGAGGGAGGGTGCGGAGAGTGCGTCGCGAGGTGCAAGTACTTAATATGTAGCGCTGCTATTAGTTTTTTCAAAAGAAAATGGGTATTGGTGGAATGTACGCCGACTCGTAGGGAGTGGGGTTCCTGTTCTAAGCGGTCTTTCTTCGAAGTGGGATAATACCGCCGCGTGCTATGAGTACGAATGGAAAAAGACAAAAGAAGAAGAAAAAAAAGTAGTTTTGACGCTCACTCATTCGGACACAGGGATTCGAACCCTAGACTGCCTCCTACATTCAGTTTTCCTACTGCATAAGGAGAGAAGCTGTGTTCCCATTACACCATGTCCCAGTTACTTCTCAGTACATCCAGGTGGTTTTATCAGCTGTTGAAGATTAGCTGGTGTTTGAATGTAGAGCCTGAGTGAGACTGTCCCTTTCTTTTGAGGTGGATGTGGCTGGTTGAGGAGGTTCGAATGGAAGACGGTTGCGGGGATAAGAAAATGGAATATCACATTCAACCGGAACTCGGACACAAAGTAACAAACCCTGGACTGCCTCTGGATGTGATCTATATGATACAAAAAGAAGCTATGTTCCCGCTACACCATGTTTAAGTTGATTCTCAGTCATCAGGGTGGTTTTATGAGATTGTTTGGGTATTAGTGTTTGAATAATTGTAGACAGAGCGGGGTTCTCGTTCTTTCTTTGTGCTGTGGATATTCAACCCTCAGAGCAGGTTCCACCGTATTTTCGGTGAGAAAATGAAGTTAGCAACACAAGATGAAAAAAAAAATCTCCACCTAAATTCAGAGAGAGGGGATCAAACCCTGGAGTACCTCTTGAGGCACCAGATTAGAGAAGAAGAGGCTCTGTTCCAGCTACCCCATGTCTGACTTCCTTTCTAAAACATCCAGGTAGTTTGTTGGTGGGTTCAAGGAAGGTTGCAAGAAAAAGAAAATAGGAGGAAAAGCATAATTCAGACACAGGGACCCAAACCCCAGACTGCCTCTGAAACAATGCTTTAAAACTCTTAAGATAAGAGACCATGTTACCATCGCACCATATCTGAGTTGATTCCCTTTTCATGCAACCACCTTTATTGGGGTGTTCATGGAATGTAAGAATAATAATAAAAAAGGTTTATTCAGGGATTTGGACCTCTAGAAGTCACCTCCTCGAAGCACATAATAATGAGAGGCAGCGCACCATATCTGATTCCCTTTGCTGTTCAAGTTCCTGGCTGGGCTTTATTTGCTCCGAGGTTGAACCAAGGTTGAACCTTCCCGTGTCGGCGCGGGCGGGTAGATCCTGAAGTAAATCTGGGGGGTATGTATAAGGCTGCTGAGGTGTACTTACGAGAGCTCGCTACGATGGCGCTGAGCTCACCCCCATTGCGGTCGTCGAGCAAGTCGACGTTACAGGCAACGTGCATCGGTTCGCATCCCCCCATCATTGACGTCACCCGCTTCCCCAACTCGCCTCGATGCTGTCGACGCGCTCCCGCCCAAGCGGCCCGCCCTCTCCGGGTCCGTGTCCTTCGAGCCGTCCTCAACAGTCTTCTCTGACACCTCTTACCGACACGCACGCTGGCACGCATCCCGTGCTGCACCCCCTGGCCGCGTCGTCCGCCCTCGAGTCCCACCCATCGCACCCGCCATCCACTTTCTTCATCCTCTCTGTTGGCCCGTACGAGGGTGGCGCGCTCTCACAGCTTCACCTTTCGTGTCCTTTCGCCCTTCTTCATTGTCTATCCGCCTCCTTCCCTCTTTTCGTCCGCCACCACACGGCCTCCCCCGTCCGGCCTCTCGCGCCCGCTTCCTGTCCTTCCTGCTCTCATCCCTCCTCTCCCTCCTTCTAACGCACCCACCCGTGATCTCTCCTTTTTCTCCTCTTGATCACCGTCTGCATTCTGCCCTCTACTTCTCCGCGCTCTGCCGCCCGCGCCTCGCACAACGCGCAACTCGCCCCCAACGTCTCGCCCCCAATCCCTTTCACGCACCGGGTCCCGCCTCCGTCACCCGCCGCGTATGCCTTTCCCGCCATCAGCCCTATTCGCCTCCATCCGCTTGCCCGCCATGCACCTCCTCTCCTACACCTCTCCCTCCCTCCCTCATCCCGCGCGCTACGCCGTCCCTCCCCGTCCCTTCCCTCCGCGCTTGCCTGACCGCTGGTATGCGCACGCCGTCTCTGTACTCCTGCCATCGTCACGATCAGGCCCGGGATCTCGCGCCCGTAAATGCAAATGCAATTCGACATCCCGCGCCCCGCGCCCGCACATCCAGGCGTAGCCCCGTGCCCCCTCGCCGCCCACGCTCGCGTCGTCTCCGCGCGCTGTCTCTCACTTCCACCATCCACGTCCAGGTCCAGGCCTCTGCATCCGAATTCCTGCGCTTCGCAAATCACCATGCAGGCGCTCAAATCCAAGGCCCTAGCTCTGGCTCCGAATTCGAATGCCAGTGCTCGCACTCAAAGTGCAGCGCATCTCGAATTTTCACGCTCCGCACACGATCGATCGATCGCAAATCACAATGCCCGTGCTCGCAATCCACGTCTCGAAGCTCCGCGGTGGCAAATGCACGCGCTCGTAAATAAATGCAGGTTCAAAGCACGGGCATTCAAGTCCATAGCCCGCGCTCGTAAAAATCGGCCCGCATCTCGAATCCAAGGCTCGAGTCCCGCGCGGGCAAGTTCGCGGCTCGAATGCGCGTGCTCGCAAATCCGTCCCCGCCCTTTTCAACTCGTCGCGCTCGCAAACTCAAATCCCGGCCTACGCGCATCGCCTCCGACGAGCACTAACGCGAACGAGGGCGAACTGGGGTTTTGGTTTATGATCACGCGGGATGGGTGGGTGGCATTTTGCGGTCGGTGCGAGGTAGGGAGAGGTGCGGGCGAGCTGGGGGTGGAGGGAGGTGCGAGGTGCAAGTATGTATGTAGCGCTGTTAGTTTTTCAAAAAAAAAAAAAGATATCGATCTTGTTTGAATATATACTGAGTGAGCGGGGTTCCTGTTCTGAGCAGTCTTTCTTTGAGGTGGGGTGATACCGCCGGGTCCGATGAGTAGGAATGAAAAGAGAAATAAAATAATAATTTGGTCCTAAGCCATTCAGACACAGGGATTGGAACCCTGGACTGCCACCGTAAACTTATAACTATCGTGGACAGAAGAAGAGGCTGTGTTCCCACTACACCATGTCTGAGTGGTTTCTTGGTACATCCGAAAAATTTTATGAGCTTGTTTGAGTATTAGCAGGGTTTTGGTTGAATATACTACTAGAGCCTGAACGGGTCTTTTGTTTTTTAGATATTCGAATTTGGAGGCACGAGCGGGAATGTTCGACTTGAAGCTTCAATTTCGAAGGCGAGAGAAATGAAAAGGAAAAAAATCGACAGTGGATTTCCTATTCAAACATAGGGAGTCGAACCCTGGACTACCTCCTAATTCTCCAGTCCAAAGTAAGGAGAAGAGGCTGTGCTCACACTACACCATGTCTGAGTTCCTTCCTACTACATCTGGGGAGTTTTATGAGCTCGTTTGACTATTAGCATTAAATGATTGTAGACGGTGCGTGGTTCTCGTTCTTTCTTTGTGCTGTGGATATTCAACACTCAGCAGTGGGTTCAACCGTACATTCCGCGCGAGGGCAGTGAGAAAATGAAGTTAGCAACACAAGACGAAAAAGACTTCTCCCTGCAAATTCAGACACAAGGGATCGCACCCTGGACTGCCTCTCAATTTTTAATCTACTTGATCCCCAGAATAGGAGGCTGTGTTCCCCTTACACCATGTCTGAGTTCCTTTCCTATGTATGTGGGTTGGTTTTATTAGCTCGTTCAAGGACGAGTCAGGAAGATAAAGTTTGATTGGTGTAAAGTCCGACCACCTGAAGGCTGACCAACTTCGTCCCTCCCGCTACTCACCTTCTCGGACTCTGCTGGTACTGCTTGCATTTGGCTCGGATTATTCGTGGCCTTGCTAGCTTCTTCCCTCTCGCGCTTATTCTGATACGGCTGCGTCGAGGCGAGGTCTGTTCTAATATAGATCGAAATAACGTCCCGGAGGAGATCGACATTCTTGGTGTTTCACCTTACTTTGACTTTGTTGCTGGCATTGACAAACACACTCATGAACACCCCACCTCCTCAACTGCGCCTCTCGGCACTCACTTGATCCGGCTACCCGAGGACTTGGTGTGCCAGCGAGGGGGACGAGCACATCAGCACCTACGCAGAAGCCACAGCCGTCCGCCTCAACATCATGGGACCGAATGCTGTCCTAGGTATGCGCCAGCCCCACCTACGTCGTTTGTCTATCAGCGCCACGCACACACCATGGAATACCCGTCCGAAGACGATCACGCCTTTGATGTGCATATGCCGTCCCGGCCGTCACCCCTGGCCCGAGCGTTCTCCATCAAACATCTACAAGTAGTAGGGCCGCAAATTGAACCAAGGTTTCTCCCAACACATTTAACAGTTTTGGACGGTCAGAAAAAGGATCACCGTGCAAATACACCGCTTTTGAAGATTAGCATCGTCGCAGTATTGTCACTTGGCCTTGGCGGCTCGCATTTTCGTTTCTTGTACTATCCTTCCCGGTCATTCCGGACATTTAACGAAGATCGGTGAATATCTTGGTATCAACATATTTCTAGCACAGTATGAGTGCAACATCCGACGCGGACCCTTCCTTTAATGTGGTCTGGCATTTTGGTTTGTGTGGAATGCCTCATTCGTCGATGAACGGCATAGTGTCCGAGTTATAGGTAACACATCAAATGCTGATTGCCGACCCCGCACCGGAGTCCCAGCACATCGGAAGACCTCCAAACTTGACACGCAAGTTCGAATGCATCATATGGACTGCTTGCATGCACTAATACTCAAGGAAATCTCCGGAAGGGTCTTTTTACAAGGCATTTTTCCACAAGTACAGGAGCCATTCAATTGAACACTCTCAGTATGGAAATCTTTGATTTTCAGTTCATTCTGAAAGTACCAGACCATCTACATGCACAAAATCCTGTATGAGCATAATCTTTGTGTAGAACCGTAGTTTTAAAGTCTCCTTCGATGTTTCTGATCTCCCATTTCTCATTGGAATGCATAAAACAGGTGGAAACCATCAATTTCCTACCACCTGCAAACTTCTTGCGTAATAAATGAGGGAATGGGGCCCGTAACCTGTGGACTTTTTGTCCCGGACTTCAGAGCACATCCTGGAGAGTCCACAGAAACAAAGATCTCGAAAAACGGTCCAGACATGATCGAGTAAAACACAAGTGTCCGAGTGGTAGGTTTGTCCGGCCCAGCGGGCAGGGTCAGGAGAAAATGACGCGGCTTGACGCGGACTGACGCGGCATTGACGCGGCAATCCCTAAGCCTAACTAAGCCCGACTAAGCCCGACTAAGCCCGACTAAGCCGGACTAAGCCTGACTAAGTTTGACTAACCAACTTCGGAATGCATTGAACTCCCGTTCTACAGTACATTTTAAAGTCTACTGATGACCTACAGGCTCTAAACCTTAAATTTAAGGTTGCAGGTGTGATATTTTGGTAAGTTCTCGTACTTCAACCTCCTTCATAGCACGGGAGACTAGGTTCAACATGAAACTGAGTTTCAGCGTTTCTTGCTGACCATTCGGAAGTAAAAATTCACCAATTGAGGTCCCGCTCAATGCGCGGCGATGCCGCCTCAATGTGTGTCAGTGCCGTGTTGTGAGGGTCCCATACGCTCTGTGTATGCCCTCGCGCACCAACGTGGCTGTGAGGGACTTGACATGACACAATCACCCGATTTGGACTACAAGAATCCGCATTTGGACATTCCTCCGGGAATCTCACTCCCTGCGCCCCTTCCTGCGGGAATCCACCTTGTACAACACCAACTGCACCCCCAACGACCTCTTCCCTCAGGATTTCACATAGCTCCAACGCTACAAGCATCCTCACCAACTCAATCCCACGGGATTCCGCACACATCCGTCACCACGACGCGATACGACCAAGATCCTACGGGATTACGCCGAGCTCACGCACCACGAGCCCCCCCCAGACATCTTGAATACCACCTACAGTTCGGACCTTACGAGATACAGGCTCTACCCATGGGAATCCTCCGGGATATGCCCTCTGAAGACCTGTGTCCTCGCATTCCGCCCACAAAGTAACGACCACCGAACTCCCGCCGGATAGAGGACGGAAACCAACAGTACGCGGGAAGATTCATCCATGTTGGGACGTGTTCGAGGCCTGAAACACAACCCAATGAGTCCACATCCCAAATCCTGCTGGTCTGTCAGCGAATCCTGCCGGAATCGACTGTTACGACGAGGTTTTGACACCAAATCCTGCCGGATTTGCTGACGCAGCGATTCTATAAGCCGAATCCTCGGGGATTGGTGCTCTATATCCGCCGGGATCGTTCTCTAGGGAAGGTCTATGGTGCGACGGGGGCCGAAGGCTGTGTAGAATCGGAAAAGGTATAAAAGGACCACCCATTCTAGCCAGTAGTCAGTCAATTCTTGGGCAAGAGTTTTCCCCCACTCTTCACCCAGTGTACCTTGTCCCCCAATACAAGAGTTGATCACACACACACCCACACACCAGTTCACGCTTGCTCTAGGGCACTCTACTCTCCTCCCACACTTGCAGCTCCTCTTCAAAGAGCTCGCGCTTCATCATCCTCGAAAGCCTTACCTGTGCACACCTTCCTACGCAGACATATCGTCGTGCAGTAGTGGGAGCCTTGTAAAGGTCTACATAGCAAATCGTCTACGACCGCAAGGACGTACCAGGCAACACCATCGCCGTACGACCAACTCTTGTCGACATTAAAGCCACCACGGAATCCCCGACTTGGAGGATTCACGCATTCAGTCTCGCGCCCAGCACCTAGGGGAAAGGCGTTAAACAGAATCGAAGAGGAGACTTTAGGAGTTTCAGACCGTTCACCACTGACCTATCTGAACAAGTATTTCTATATTCTAAACCGTCCACCTTGTTAACCACACAGTTCCAACCGAGTACACCATCCGGACCAACATACCTGTTTCTCCACTGCCACCCTCTCTAAACTAGGAGCCATCCGATATAACCCCTAGAGGACGAATGCAGCTACACCGCGAATACCATCATCTTTCACACCGTAGCACCGCGGTCCTTATCACAACGGGCCTCCCTTTAGGGTTGAGATTCATCACGAAATTAATCGGGTAATCTGTGAACTCACCATCGTAGTAGATGTTCAGTTTGTCGGACGCGTAGAACTATTCCACGACATAAGTTTTCAGTACAGTGTGAGAGTGAAGAGCTAACTCACAGAGCCTAAATGGGGCTGGAGAGACTCGGAGATGGGCTGAGCGTAGCTGAGTGCAGCTGAGCGCAGCTGAGCAATGTTAGGTGTTACCCAGAATTGAGCCTGTACTACGGGAGAACTTGAGACAGTGGTGGATAGATTGAAATGGGGCGGCCATGGAGCCACGCTCATGGGAGGTGAATCGGCTACCGAGGTTTCTGGGACAGGGAGGACAGGCAGAGAAGCATCGAATGCGTCGTCGTCGTCATCCGGAAAAGGCAATGCACACGTGACTGTACATACAACGTCGCGTCGAACTTTTGAGTGGGATATCGCGCATTCATTTGAGTTTATATGTGCGCGTTATTATTGGAGAAATGACCATAAGGGGAAATCAGGCCGATCCCCGAGCGGACTTACTTAGCGGATCACTAATGTGGAACACCTCTGAGTTATGTAGATTCTTCTAGTATACATACCTCTGTAGTATATAAGCTGAGGGTTGTAGAGCAATCTCTTCAGGAGATTGTGACCCAAAGCCTAACAGCTCTAGTGCAACCTATTCAAATTATATCAGTTATCCGTGTTCTTTGAATCCTATGGGTACTAGGCTGCTGATGATCTAACCAATATCGGTTCTCACGAAAGGATGCCGTCGCTGTTCAAATCAGCAGGCAGTGAATACCGTGGATATGGGGCGGCGTCTCGATGATTGGCCACCCATGATGATGATATGTCCTCTCGGAGCCTACATTTGACTTGAGAGTGAGGGAGATGGCGAGTTGCCGGGGTGTCAATTTCCCACAAAGGCGGGGACGTTGGTGGTTGGTGATTGAGAATGAGAGAGATATGTGGTGTTTCTCGACGTGCAGACTGACTTCCAAAAACACGTCTTTGTGAGGCCATGTGTCTGATCTATGGCTGTAATAGTGGGACATTATTATTTTTAACACCACCCCTGTTTTTTTATGGAAAATCACACCAGTCAGAGTGTTATTTATGTTTCATACACAGGCTAGCGTTTGACATGGAGAATTACACAGCCCAGTAATCTCATAAATAGCACAGGTTTCGGTGTGTGCCTTCAAGAAACACCACCACATCCCACTCAAATATGTACAGGCTGATGCCTCCTCCAAGATGAACCGGTGTCAGATGGCTCGTATTCCCGCCGGTAATTTCTAATCCATTCCTTGAT